GGCTGCGGCCTTCGCCCTGGGAGGCCGGAGGGTTGCGAGGCGTGCCCGGGCCCTGCGCCGCTCCCTGGTGCTTTCCCTGCGCCCTTCCAGCGGGCCCGGCCCTGTGCTTCTTTTAACGTTACGTGTAATTAACCTGATGAAGTAAGCGCATAAAGGTAAGGGGTGACGTTCTCAGTGGAGCAGTACCGAAACAGGGCTGTCAGCCTTGGCTGTTGATTTTTGAAGGCCTGAACTCTCGGGTTTCCCATCCCTGGGGCCTGTCCTTGGCTTTTGCTGTCTTTAACAGTGGCCTTCAGGCTTCCCTTAAGACTTGGCGTGTTGCTAATAAAGGCCCATGTGAAGAGGTCCGAGCTTGATTTCCTGCATCTCTGCGCCGGTATAGAATTAACGCTGTCTGAGAGGGGTCAGAGAGTGGAGTCTGGGGCATTTGAGGTCGACGTGGCTGAAATCCCGACACTTAGCAAAATCTTCTTTGGTAACTGAGCGAACGTGCTTGTCCTGGTGCTTTCTCTGGAAATATAAGTGCTCTAGATCGTAGTTAAAATATTAAAGTTGCCATTGCTTGGTTCTTTGAAATGGGATCTTATACTGTTTATGTGCATAATGCATTCAAATATGCAAAATGTTCTAAATCAGGTGTAATTGCTGGCTAAATTACATGTGTTATCATACCAAATATTTGTGAAGGTGCTTCAAAATCCAGCATTTTTCTTTATACACTTATACACTGTGCACATATACTTGTTTATTATACTGTCTATGCTTACATATATTTAAGCTAATTCATTTTCCAGTTAGATACTCAGAGAAGCCTTATAAATCAAACTTTATAGATTACTTCTGTTAGAATGTCCTACCCCCACATTTAACAGAGGCTCACCTCGATTTTGCTCTTTTTATGGACTTACTTAAGTAATTTAAAAGTTAATAGACAACTCAAGAACTTTCTGGAGGGGTACTTGTGTTGCTTTGCTGTGGTGAAATCCTGCACAAGCTGCTGCAATACCAGAGTTTTTGCATACACAGGCTTTCACCCTCCTCTGCAGGGTGAGGTTTGAAAACTGACCCGAGCTGCTGCTGACTTGTGTGCTTGAGTCTGCCCTTGGCTGCCGGCCCCGCATCACTCCCCCTGCCCTGCCGCAGGATGCACTGAAGGCAGGATTATGATCTCACCGAATGGTCAGGCAGGAGCTGGCCCTAGGTGAAATCGCTTGCAACAGCAAGTTAAAATGCAGATGAATGACTCGTGGATTAAATGCTGAATCCTTTATTTCCCAAAGTCTAAGCAGATCTTTGACGTTTATTTCAGTAAGCACAATCGCACAGTAAATGCTTAATGCTCTCCTAGCACAGAAGTCACAGAGCTGCTGAGATTTACTAAGATTAGCAGTAAGAGATTAAAGCAGTTGATGCCAAATGTGCTTTGTCTATCTCTTCAGAAGTGTTCTATGGTACCTGCAGAGCTGTGTGATGCTTTGGCAGGCGAGGGTAAATGTCTTAATTAGCACGTTTCTTCTACCGCATTTGGATATATGAGACTACTCAAACGGAACGTGAACTACTGTCTTGCCCTTCCAGGCAATTTTAACTTAACATTTGGCAGGCAGTGGGTCAAGTTCGTTTGCCTATACTGAAAGTCAAGGTTAAAAAAAAAAAAGCTGTAAGTAGTTACAGCAGTATTCTACCCTGTAAAATCCTGCCTTTGCTCTTGTAGATTGATATTGATGATGTAATGACAATAAATCCTCAGTTGTCCGAAGAACTACCTACCGCAGATGTGAAAGAGAATCTTCCTTTGCAAGAGAATGTAACAGTACAGGTAAGTGCTTTAAAGTGATTTAGTCTCTCCGAAGGTACTAAAATGTCAACACCGTAGGTCTTATTATAATGCCCTCAGCCTTCAAGTTTGAGGTCTCTAATTTATCTTTTCTGTCTCATAGTTAGACTTTGGTCAGAAAAATCTTGTTGTATTGATGTTATCTTGAAGTGCAGCTTACTCTGATTACTTGGAACACTCATTGTTTTTCAGAAACAGAAGCGCAGAACAACACTTTCAAAAATTCCTGCTCCACGAGAAGGTGAGAAAAATGTTCTTTTCTCTTTTATATTCCTGTGAAACAGTGATGGTCTTTCATTGTAGCCATAATATTCTACTTCAGTGCCTTGTAAGTCTGTTCATTCAGGCAATGCTAATAAGGAACACAGCATTTCATACCACCATGCTGGACTCTTGAGTGCAGAAATTTTGCTATAAGACTGCTGTCCTGTTACTGTGACCTGGGGTTTGTTGACATGTTGCCCTTTCCTGCAGTGCTGATGTCGTTATTCCTTGATAGCGCTTTAAATGTCACTGGGCAGTTACTTTTGCAGTGAATTTTTAAGTTTTGTATGGAGTTTTTCAAATGCAAAGTAAAAGGTTAAGTGGCAATTATTAAGATTTGAAGCGTCAAAATGAAAGTGGAAAGAGCAAGAAAGAAATAACGGTGACAAATGGATGTCTTCAAATTGTCAGCCTAGAAAATAACTAGAGCTTTGTCCTTGGAGAGGTCTCAGACCCAGCAGCCGAAGTGCCAGCTGGTGTGCCATAGCTCAGTACACGTATGTCAACGCAACATTCTGAGCAAAGCCGAAGAGAAGGTAGAGATGTCAGTGCGGGATTGCAAAGGGATTGTTTTTCTTGAGGTGTCAGGAGTTGGAGAACGCCCCTGCTTTCTACCTTCTTTTAGTTCATTTGACTCTTTCAGCTTTTTGAATTGCAAGTGGCAGCATTACAGGTCTATTTGTTGTACATTTGTGTGAGCTGAGGTTGAATGGTTGCTAATTTAATGATTCTCTTAAAGTTGTACTTGTTGTACTTGTACTTTTTTGTGTAACTGAGCTATAAATAAGATGTCTGGGCTTGTCTGGCCTTGTCTTGTACGCAATACAAGACATAGAAGCTGATATCAGAAGACAACAGTGCAAAATCCCTTTGCATTGGAGAGGCAGGAGTAGTCCCAGAAGTTTGTGTTAAAAGTTGTTCTGTACTAGAGCATCCTGATCTTCCTCAAATCCGGAGAACTCTCCACAAATTTTGTGAACTAGCAAGCAAAATAATGTGATGAATTTGTGACTGTCTCCAGACATGCCAGTTAACGGAGCTGTAGAGCCAGCTGGAAGAATAAAGGTGGTGTAATCCAGTCACTGATTTACTGGAAAAATGTCCTCACAGAGGTCACAGCTTTCCTGATGTATAGAATCTAGTTGAAGATCTGAAATATCTGTTCTTACTGGCATGATCTTGTTCCTGCAAACCTGCTCAGAGTACAAGAGTGAAAGTGGTTTCTGTATTTCTCAAATATTGCCTGTTATAACTGGCTAAACCCTGCAAGTGTCAGAGAATATCTATCCTATTGCAAACTCTGCACTACATCAGTTAGAAAGCTAACATTGGCTTCAGGTTTTTGTTCTTAGACTAAACAAATTAAAGAAGATCAGGGGGTGTCTGTCTCCATCTTACTCAGAGAAGTGAGAGAAGCAGAAGCAGTGCTTTCAGAATAAATTAAGGAACAGCTATTGCCTCAGTCCTTAGAATCAATAAGAATTTTGGAGGATGTTGAGTAGCCTCATGTATAAGAATCACTTGACTCAAACTCATTTAGATGCAGCGAGTTCTCCAGCCCAGGAGCACTAGCATTTGCAGGAAAAGTGCTGCTGAGTCTGAGATGAGATCAGGTGTGGGCATGTGTGACAAAACCAAATGGAATAAAACGCCATCTCTGAGTATAATGAAACTGATGCTTTTTATTCCTAAAGTTGCAGCAGTGACAACTAATGTCTCTGCACTTGAGCAGAAGATTGCTCTACAATTACTTGAAAGGACATTGTAGAGAGGTTGGTGCTGGTCTCTTCTCACAGGTTATTAGGGACAGAACCAGGGGGAATCGTTTCAAGTTGCAACAGGGCAAGTTTAGGCTGGACATTAGGAAGAAATTCTTCAAGGAAAGAGTGGTCAGACCCTGGAACAGACTGCCCAGGGAGGGGGTTGAGTCGCCATCCCTGGATGTGTTCAAGTGTCGCTTAGATGGGGTGTTGGGTGATGTGGTTTAGGGGTGAACGTGTAGTGTAGGGTCAATGGTTGGACTTGATGATCCCAAGGGTCTTTTCCAACCTCAATTGTTCTGTGATTCTATGATTCCAGGTAAAGTTAACAGATAAGAATTTCGTGGGAATGTTTCTAAGGGTTTTGATCCGGAACTGAAATTAATCCTTGGTATGACAGAGATCTGGTGTCCTTTAAAATCCCAGTGATTAGTTATGGATAAATTGCCAGAGGTGAAGGTAGTTCTAGCTGGAATATCACACTACTTTTTTTTTTTTAGTATTGCATTTGCTTTTTCTCGTGACATGCACGTTCCAATCCCTTCCCCAGGAAGCTTTGCGATGGACTTGGTCTCAGTGAAAGAAATACCTTGGTGTGTGACAGTGAAAGGATCTTTCCCAAAGATTTACTGTTGTGATTATATAAATATTTAGCTGAATTTAGTGTTGTCAAGCTCCCAGTCCACTGTGTACCACACATGCCGTCTGTGCGTGGGCGCTGCGATGAGGGGAGCGATGCTGCCCATGACTAGTTACCAGTCTGTGGTACTGCTGTCTCCCTCAGATAGTTAATTCACACCTGCAGGTGTGAAGCTTCAGAGGATTTCCCCTGACTTGTAACTTCCTCCTTCGGAGGCATTAAGGTTCTGGAACTGCCATATTAGCAATTTTGTGATGGTATCGGAAAGAAAGTCACTGGAACTGCAAGTCTGGAATGAATGGTTTGTTTTTCTGTAGTGGGTTATTTAATGATTATCCTTCACCCACCTGCGTTGCTTTGTTGTGCACTTTGCTAACGCATCCAAGATCTAGAAACGGTCCTTTTAACCGCACCTTCTGCACTTTGTGAACACTTGATTATTTGCGAATGTCTGAGTGTCTGAGGCATGGTGCTGACCTTGAATTTTTGTTTTCAAAGCTGGTCGTGGCCATTCCAGGATGTCAGTTATCACAGAATCTCAGTGCAGCCTCCAGGAAAATGAGATGGGGGTGGATTCCTGTGCTCCTACACAAACCAGAAACAATTCATCACTTCCTGGTGAGTGTCCAAAGAACCCTGTGAATTCTTACTATGAAGCAAGATGCTTTGTTTGCATTTAACTAGGTAAATTGCAAATCCCAGGAGGAGAGCAACTTCTGTTCCCTCATATATAAAACAAGAGAGACCTAGAGGTCTGCCACTATGTAAATATCCAAGGCTCCAACTTGCAGGGTTCTCAAAGGCCTTTGGAAAAAGTGTTGAATGATGTGCTTTATTAGCCAGAGAGCTGTGGTTGTACGTGTGGGTGGATGTGGTACCTGCTTAACGGCACAGAGTTGTGTTCACAGGGCTAGAGTGGGAAGAGAAGTGCCTTAATACTACTGACAACACACTCTGTAACTCTACTGGTGGTAGTTTTAGCTCTGTGGGCTGAGTAAAGCAAGAATTTGAGCCTATTTGAATTATGAAACTGGAGCTGTTTATCTTTGGCAGACTTACCCTATGGATAAGTAAGGCTATGCCTGTGTATTAAGTTCTGCAAAGACATTAATTTAAGAGGTTTGATACTAAGTTCTTGTTGGTGTGGCCTTGATTTGTAGCTTTGAATAAAAGTTGGTGATTGACAAATGGCTAAAATTTATTTGCAAGTTTACCACAGGTTTTAGTTAGTTCTTTCCCCTGATTCAGGAACAGAGTAGGGTAATGCCTGTGGTCTGTGAGGCTTTACAAATTACAAAACTGTTCTTGATCTTTGGGATCTGATTATTGGTTTTGGTCTGGCTTCTCTGTGCAGTTGGCCGAACCAGGACTAGCCGGCTGAGCTGTGCTTCGCAAGCCCCCCTGACAAATGGAAACACGGAGGATCATCAGCCTCCTACTAAAACAAACTCTTCAGTGAGCCCAGGTACCAGGGAGCAGTGGGTAAGAACTGACTCGCCAGTCAGCAATGCATCACCGCATGGTTGGTGCTTTGTATACTCCGAAACGAAAGCTTTGAAAAGGTGGTTTTGGCAGTATGATGGAATATCTTGAGTATTTTTTTTAATTACAGATGTATAATTCTGTTAGAGTGGTATTGCCTCAGAAATGCTGCCTTCACTTTAGAGCGGTAACCTAGCTTCTGAGGCAGTTTGTGGTAGGTACATCTGGTTTGAGAAGGATGTGCTGCAAAATTAACAACCATCTTGCTGCAAGATGATCATTTCCTGTATAAGTTAGTCTGTCAGCAACCTGGAAAAGTGAAAATATTTGCTTTTTGTTTAAAACCTAGTATGAAGATTAAATCCAAGGAAATGTTTTTATTTTATCTAGTTCGGAGAAGATCTAACATGGCAAAAGGGATGGAGAAAACAAAAAGCAAGAGAGAAGAAAAGAGAGCTCAAAATAATGAAAACAAGGCAAAACGTGCACAGGTGGAGTACTCTACAACACAAGTTCTGAGTCTTGTGAAACATTTCTAATTGTATACATCGGGTAGTTTAGAATGCTCTTGGGCTTTTTTTTTTTTTCCTTCCTGTAACAGGTTAATGACCTTCACATCCCTGTTTTTTTTTTATTCAGGAGTTTGACAGCAGCTGTCCAAACTGGGAATTTGCACGGATGATCAAGGAATTCAGAGCAACTTTAGACTGCCAGCCTCTGTCTATAACTGACCCCGTAAGTAAATACCGAGGCTACCAACTGCAGCCGATAGACAGATGTCTTGGTTTGGTATTGAAGATTTTAGCATACAGGCAATTTAGTGCATCGCTGCATCCTGGAACTCCTCTGAGCGTATTGTGATCTTGAGGCACCTGGTGGTATATGTGGGGTCCCCTATTTAGGGCTAAGCTGCCTTGTGTTACTTAGCATATATCCCTAGTGAAGGGCTTGCACTTTGATAATTATCATGCAATGATTTGCATGGTAACATCAGGTTTTCAGAGCTTGTAAATGGAAGAGCCTATTATGTAGCAGCTCAGCTTGTTCTAGGTATAGGCATGAGTTAGAATGGGCTATTGCCCTGTAAAAAGTATCCTATAAAAAAAAAGATATGTAAGTCATTAAGTACTGTAGTTGCAGTATTAATATCACAGATTTTGTTAGAAAACTGGCTGAGGACTAAACTTTTTACTCATTCAGATACCAAATATTTGGGACAGTTTCTATAGCATAGCAGCATTCCCACCTGCTGTGTTGGAGTATGCTGTGTAAAGGTAACTTAAGGGTACATTTTTTTGGTAATGTTTCTATTGCACTGAATGTACTTTAAGACTTAAACCCCTGCATGAGTGAGTCTGATCAGTAGCAGAGGCAACTCTGGGCATATAGAAAAGTAGATGTGAGGGAGGATTGTCTCTCTGTAATACTAAGTGTGAGTGTAACTGGGTAATAATTACTATCTTCTTACTTTTAGATAGAAGAACATAGGATTTGTGTCTGTGTAAGGAAGCGCCCTCTCAATAAACAAGGTGAGTGTACTGCTGAAACAGCTCTGTCTTGGAGCAGTTTGATGTTACTTATTCTTGTTAAAACTGAGGGTCTCTTCTGTCAACAGAACTGCTAAAAAAGGAATGCGATGTGATTACTGTTCCCAGCAAGTGTGTCCTGCTGGTGCATGAGCCAAAGCAGAAAGTGGACCTAACTAAATACCTTGAAACCCAAGCATTTAGATTTGACTTTTCATTTGATGAATCCTCTTCTAATGAAATGGTATACAGGTAAGGCTTTACTTCTCCTGGGAACAACTTGCAAGATAAAAGCATGGAACTATGGCTAGATGGCATCCTGACTTAAAGAAACTGCTACCTGAAATAAAGATTAAAATCCTTTTTGGAGGAAACCAAAGGACTCAAAGTCTAAAGCTTATTTTTCATGTGGCCTTGCTGATTTCCTAAGGATGTCTTTATTTGGTTTTTTTTTTGTTTGTTTTATTTTTAGGAAAACTGATGAAGCAGGGTGTGAAATGCTTGCCTTAACTATCTTTTGCCTTCTGAATATCCAGGTTCACTGCTAGACCTCTTGTAGAGACCATCTTTGAGGGTGGCAAGGCAACATGTTTTGCATATGGCCAGACAGGCAGTGGCAAGACACATGTAAGTTGTTTTTTTGCCAAGGTCTCAAATTTTCTAGCTTTGAAGTATTTTAAAGCTGCTTGATGTTGATAATGAGTAGGTTTGCGTTAAGGAGTTTGGATCTTGGTTTTATTGTCTTTAAAGCTAATACTTTGTCAGTTGTTTTATCTTCTTCTGTAGTTTTAGGTATTAGTGGTTTTCCTCTGAGGTTATGAGGAAAATTGTACTAAAATTACCCTGTAGCTGACTTTTTAAAGACTTAGGATGTCCTGGCAGGTCAGTGTTGGCCATGGCTATTTCTTGCCTCAAACAGTTGCCACTGCCTAACTCGAGTCTGCAAAGTGGGGCTATTTGCCTACATCTCAGACAAAGTCTGTGTTTTGAGCTTGGCAGCATTCCAGAGATCTTTTAGAATTCTAAAAAACAGTCTCTTGTTGCATGTAAACATTTAAATGATCTAATATTATTTGTGAGGTGGACAAATTAGTGTTCACTTTTTAATCACTCTTCCTAGTCTACCAGTTGCAGTTTCAAGAGACCTGAAAATTATGTTTTCTGCCTCAAAGGTGATCTGTTCTAAATTTTCAACAACTGTGTCTTAAACTACTTCTTCCTGAAACTATAGGGAAGGAAAGTGGGAAACTCTTTTCCCTCAGCATGACAGTGGAGTCAAATCTTCTTGTTCTGGAAGAAGCCTTTACCACAAACCACAGTGCTCTGAACTGGACAAGGCTAACCTGTCAGTTTGAGTTCTCAGACAATTGCTGCAATTGTGGCGTTAGAGGCGAGTTTCAGGCTACGATTAGCGATATGTGGTGAGCTGTAGGCCTCTTCCAGTAATCCAGAAAGAAATTTGGAAGTTTGGACATAGGCTGCCTCCACTGCACTGGAATGGGCAAACCTGCTCATCTGTGCATTCTGTTACAGGAATCCAGCTGTGAGGTACTAAAATCACAGGCAATGAAGCTACTTCCCCTTCCTGATCCGAGGGTGTGGACCTAGGGCAAGGACAATAGCTGTACCTTGAAACTGGAGTGCTGCATATTAAACTCTGGTAGATTGAGAATGTGTTATGAGATTGAGCCATGTTTTAAATAATTGGCACTGTTTCACATGAAAATAGTAGAGCAAGTCACCAACTGAACACTTTCTTGGAATTAAAGATAACTTGGTCAGAAGAGTTAAAGGTATTGCCTGCTCTAGAAGTTTGTGTTTTGGTATCACACGTGAGCTTTTGCAAGTAGCAGTGAAAACATTACTCAACCTGTGGCCTAAAAAATGAGGCTCTTCCTCTGACCAAAGGCTATTTGGTTGCACTGTCAAGGCCGTGTGTTTTTCCCCTTCAAGGGAACAACTGCTTTGGCTGCACTGCAGGGCCTTACAGCCATTCAGCTGTTGCTCTGCATAGTCCAGATCCTTCTGAACTGATGGGGAAGCAGAAAATTAATTTTATCTTGATTTGCAACGTGTTCTAATCATCTTGCTGACATTGAAACTATATATATATATAACTTCCAAGTATGTTCTTAAGACTAAAATCAGATAGCCAGACTTGTTTGTACCACACCTTATTTCTGGCCTTTTCTCTTCGCAGACTATGGGTGGAGACTTCTCTGGGAGAGCACAGAATGCCTCAAAGGGCATATATGCTTTTACATGTAAGCCGATTCTTCCTTAGATAGCAAATTAGGGCTTGTTTTTCTTAAATAGAAATTCTGGGTTTGTCTGGTTTGTTTCCAGTAAAAGATACATAGAGTATTTGTTTTCAGTAAAAAGTAGTGGTGTTTGTTATGGGAGGTATGATTTTTTTTTTTTTTTAATTCAGTTTCACAAAATATTTTCCATCCAGTCTGAAAGTTTCTAGATTCACGCTAAACTCACTAGAAGTTTTGTTTTTGAAGGAGAGATGACACATTTTCTAGTCTGGCATTTGCTGGGCTGAAACATTGAATTTTAATTCTGCTTTGCTTTTGTCTCAGACCAAGGGTGGTGTTTGGAAATAGTCAACTTGAATGCAGTACAACCTTACCTTACCCATTTCTGATATAAAGCTTGTTATCCAGAAAGCATATGAATGAATGTATGTTATGTTTCTTCCTGTAAATGTTAGATGCACAAAAATCTAGCACATACAAAATTATTTCAGAAAACTGATGCTTAGAAGCCCCTCCTTGATACGATGCCTAAAAAGCACCATGAACCCTGACCTCTTCTACCTTCTCTTTAGAAAGGCATCTTGTGAAACTAGTCTGTGTAGCAAGGCAGCTGAAACAAGAGTAACTGCTGCTCTCTGAAAATTAGTTATGACTGGCCCTGAAGTAGAGTCTTTGTTTCTCAGCTCAAAGCCTGAAGCCTGATTGTGAAAAGCTGTGCTGGCTCCAGCCAGAGGGTCAATGAATCTGGTGTATTGTCTCTAAGCAGCAGCAATGCAAACACAGAAAGCCTAGAAACTGTGCATCCCTGAGCACGAAGCACTTGGAACAAATACATGACTTTCAGGCCTGTCCAAAAGGATAGCAGACCCACCCAGATCAGTAAAGATTGCTGTCTGCAGGTGACATTAGCAGTAAAAACTTCTGTATCCCGCTGTGTTTTCACTCTCTGGCTAAGGATACTGCTGAAACTGTTCTTCAGGTGGTTGTAGAGCACTAATTGTTGCACTAGCAGTTGTTTAGGATGGCTGTCATTCAGCTGCCAGACGCCACCTCATGGCTATGCAATATTTGAAAGCAGATCAAATGGCAATTAGGAGTTAACTAAACTTCTGCCTTTCTTCACTAGCACAAGATGTCTTCCTCCTCCTAAACCAGCCCAGGTACAGGAATCAGGACCTGGAAGTCTATGTGACCTTCTTTGAAATATACAATGGAAAGGTAAGGTGTGGGTGAATATAGTTCTGAATATAAATAGTCTGTTGCTCTTGGTGGGTTTGAAATTGGATTGGAAGGCTGTGTTAAAGGTTCTGTTCCTATATAACCTTCTTGAAAGACAGTGCCAAATACTTACAAGGAGACTTTGTTCAGATTTGCCTCAGTCTTGTTGCCTAAATATAGGTATTTGACCTCTTGAATAAGAAGGCAAAGCTTCGAGTCCTGGAGGATGGCAAGCAGCAGGTCCAGGTTGTTGGTCTTCAAGAGAGACAAGTTGGCTGTGCGGAGGATGTCATCAGAATGATTGAGATGGGCAGTGCCTGCAGGTTTGGTGCCTTAAAACCAATAAGTCATGTCCTGTTGTATCTCCATGTCTAGAAAAATATGTAATGCCTATAGCTGGTGCTTTGAGACTTACAGAAGCTTGTCCTTCAGACTCATAGACAGGCACTGAGCTCTACCTCTGCCGGAGTACAGGAAGGTGCTTACAGAACAAAGGGTTAGCAGGGATGGGTTAGCCTGCCTTCCATAGAGAAGGTCACAGTTCGTATGTCCCCAGATAACTCTCTGAGGAGTTGGCAGCCCTGTTGCCACAGCTGAACTGAGCAGTCTAGCTACTTTCTAGAAGTACCAGCTGCTTTACAGGAAGATTGTAAGATCAAGGAAGAGCAGCCAGTATCAGCCTACTGTTCCAAAAATGCTTTGGCTTAGCTGCAGGCCATATGAGCTATTCCAATAGCAACAGAAATGTTGCATTGTCATTTGGGGATCTTTGTCTAAAGAATCCTTAAAAGCAGGTGCGAAAGGACAGCCAGAAACCTGGCTCATCCTGGCAGAAAGGCTGTTGTTGGGGCAACTCTGCTATTGTACGGGCATCTTTAATCAGGAGCTGAAATCTGTATTACCAAGTCTTATCTGTCTCAGTTAAGTTGCAACTGCTATGGAAACATTTCCAGGCATAATAAGAGCTCCTTGGCTTCTGTATTGCACTGCATGAGCAGAAGTGCACATCCTGAAAGCTCACTCAGTGCTCTGCTGTGTATGCTGTTGTGGCTGCAAGTCAGCCAAGAACTGTTTAACATTTCAGACTCCTGCCTCACCTTAGGACAACCTCCCACTCTCCCTTTGCCCCAGCAGAAGGGGTGCAGGCAGGACAGTGACCTTGCCAGCTTTCTCGGGGAATAAATGACAATAAAGGTCATAGGGAGGTTTATGGTAACTTTTAAGTCTCCAGTCTGTGCCTTGCAGCAATGGGGCAGGTGCAGTTGCACAGCAGAGGTAAAGTGCCAAGCCAGCTTGGCTGGAGAAGGGGATTTACCATGATTGTAATGTGCTTGCACAGCTAATGCTGTTTAGTGTGGGAGCTTGGCTGAGCTTATTGTGTAATGGCAGATGCATTAGGAAAATGACATGTGGCCTGCTCTGAGGCAGGGAGATGCAGCACTGAAGGTGTGTCTTCCAGCTCCAAATGCGTGTAAGGCATTAGCAGTCAGACAAGCACTCCCGTGCAGGCTGCTGGAGTTGAGCCAGGCAGCTTAAATAGACTTAGATACCTGCACCCCAGATGTAAAGATTTATTTCTCTCAGCAGTTCTTCTGTGCTCGTATACTGGAGGGAATTCCATAGTTCATGCTGACTTGAAGTATTAATGTCTGGGATAAAACCTGGGAGGTTAAACAACTTATTTGAATGGCTGCTGGTCTTGTCTAGTGCTGTTGGGACTTGTTGTCTCTTCTGTGACATGGTTCTAACCTCGTTTGTATCTTTGTTGTAGGACATCTGGGCAAACTTTTGCAAATGCTAGCTCTTCACGGTCACATGCCTGCTTCCAAATCATCCTACGCCGAAGAGGGAAACTGATTGGCAAATTTTCCTTGGTGGATCTGGCAGGAAATGAGAGGGGCGCAGACACATGTAGTGCTGATCGGCAGACACGAATGGAAGGCGCAGAAATCAATAAGAGCTTGTTGGCTTTGAAGGTGAGTTATAGCTCAGGGAGCAAATAGTGCTAACCAATGTGGATTCAGTTCAGTTCTGGGGTTATTTGTACTGTTTCTTTCCAGTGGAAGGGCAAACAACGGCCAAAAAGATCCTAGTTTAGTATATTAACAACTCTGAAAATGGTGTATGCTTCCATTTAGAATGGTTTCAGGAAAGCAGCGCAGTCTTGTCAGGCCAGACATCAGTTCAGGCATTTCAAACTTCGTTCATGTTGTGTTGGTTTTGGCTGTTTTCTTGTGGGGTGGCTGTGTGTGGGTTTTTTGTTTGGGGTTGGTTTTTTTGGCATATGATGTATATACCAGCTGTCCTGTGACAGTCAAATACCTGGAGTATATTTAAAAGGCTGTGAATCACAGAGCAATGAAGATAATGATTCTCCAGTCTGTTGGGTTTGTTACAACTGGTGGTTGATAGCTTGTAGAGCTGCAGGAGAAGAGATGCAGGTATTGCATTCACAAGACTTGTCTTTTCTTAGGAATGCATCCGAGCTTTAGGGCAGAACAAATCTCACACTCCTTTTCGGGAGAGCAAGCTGACCCAGGTGCTAAGAGATTCTTTCATAGGAACAAATTCAAGGACCTGTATGGTGAGTATGCACATGGCACAAACACACACTGCTTATGGCTTCTGCAATTTGACCAAATAGCTGTGTGCTCTTCTAGAGTAAGGGGGCTTTGTAGTCAGAAAGCTTCAGTTCTCTGCAAAAAAACCCCAAACATACACCCATGGTGTCACCCATGTGACTGAGATCAAAACCCAGTGAGCTGTGCCCAGCTCCAGTAGAAGCAGGGCTACAGAAGTCACTTTAGTATAGTGAATCTACAGGAGAGCCCTCAAACAGCTTTGCTTCCTCTGGAGGGTGCAGTGCAGTGGGTGTGCACAAAGCCAGTGGGAAGCTGGATGCAGGGCCAGTGGCAGGTGTCACAAGCTATGAAGAAAAATGGACTTGACAGAATGTCTGAACTTTGACCCTTTGCCCCAGCATGTCCCAGCTGCCTGCTGAGCACTAACATGAGCAAAATTCAGGTGTGGGAGTCACTGAGGTCTTCTGTTCTGTTTGCAGATAGCAATGATTTCTCCAGGCATGGGTTCGTGTGAGTACACCTTAAACACACTGAGATACGCTGACAGGTAACAGCCTTTCTCACCTGGGGATTCTACTGTTGGAAAAGGTGTTGTGGCTGCTTTTCTTCTGACCTTTGGAATATCAAGTTCTCTTGTTATTGCTTGTAATGGCAATCTGGAGATTGTTTGTTAGAAGCAAGTATCTTAGTGCTGTCTTATGAAACTAACCTGAGTGTTCTCTGTGTGAGACAATAGAAAGTGTATAAATCAATGACTAATGTCCCCTTTCTGCAGAGGAGTTGTCTCTCATGCTAAACTTTAGACTGTTGTGTCTCATGGTAAACGTTAGACTGCCTTGTTTCTTGTAGGGAGCTTACCCTGGCCTGAATGGTTGCCTCCATGCCCTTTGCTTTAAGTACTGTGGGTCCCATATATAAGGTTGTGCTAAGAATGTGTCCCTGACACGGCCCCACAGATGGCACAACACACTTGGTGTTTGTGGTGGACTTTGGTACAAACTAATAGGGTATGGTACCTTGGAGACTTTGGGTGAAATCTGAAGGTCCTGGAGAACAAAAATGCCTCTAAGCATATGATGGGAGTGTGCTTTGAGTGCCCCGTTGTTGATGTGGGTACCTGCAGGGCAAGGTAGACTTGCAGGGACTGAGCCCCAGGTTTCCCTGGGGGTCTTGCTGATACCTGGAACCCCTGTGGCAGAGCAGTGAGTGGCTACCGGTCTCTGCTTTACATGCCTTTACACCTCTCTGGTGAGGCAAGAAGTAAAAAGATGACTTTTGTCCAATGTTAACATGATGACACTTGCACATTTCAGGCTTGGTAGCTTTCCTGAATTTAGTTCACAAAAGGCTGCTTGGTTCCTTCTTGAAAAGCATTCCACTCTCTGAAAAGACGGATGTATGGTAATTCTTGTTGTAAGCATTCAGAAACACTGTGAATCTTGACAGATTCTCAAATGTGGTTCTGGATTGAAATTGCATTTTTTTTTCTTCTGGTGGACATTCCTGCCTACCTGAAAAATACAGGACAAAATGCAACATCTGACTTAGGAGGCTTCAGTAAGATTCTAGTCTTGACTTGGGCCCACTGGGTTCGTTGCTAGTGCAAAAGGTAAATTCAAACTTTTTTATGAAAGGAGGTTGAAACTCACTGAAGATACGAAGTTGATGCTAGTAACTGGAATGAAATGCCCAGCTGGTATTTGACATCTGCCTCTAGTATCATGTCATCAGCCATGGCTTTTATCCTTGTTATAGACCTATTCTGGCACAGTGGGGCTCCGGGAGAAATCGGCCTCATTCCTTTTCTTTCCATACTTAGTTCCCTTAGTTGGTTATGACAGACCAAGTTGACATGGGGAAGGTGGCTTTTGTTAAAGGCTTTGCTGGGAATTAGCATTGTGTACTTTGACATTTCTCTGCAGGAGAGGTCCTAGATTGGGCATGGAGTCAAACAGCTTGGCTTTCCTTCCCACAGCTCAGGGGTTTCTGCCCATGTGAGCTTGTTCTGGGGGTGGTAATGTGTAACTTAAGTGCAGCTGAATGTTTCTTGCTGGGCACGGATTAACTGCAATAGCTGCTTTGTGATGCCAGAGATTGCCGGAAGAGAGCTTGTGACAAATCTTGTTGCAGAGTGAAAGAGCTCAGCCCTCATAATGGAAGTGGTGAAACACAGAATCAGATGGAGACTGAGAATGAGGAAACGGAGACCAGTGGAGAAGGCTCGGGTCTTCAGTACAATGTATGTGTGTGAAGGGGGCTGAACAGATCTCAAAGTTGGAAACAACTTGCTTACTTGGGCTGTTTCTTGCAGCTTTCCAAGGATGAGGAGGAAGAGATCTCTTGCCACATGTTCAATTTTCGTGAGGCTATAACTCAAATTAGTGAACGGGAGGAGAAGGTTGTAGAACAGCTCAGAGAACTGAGACAGGTATGTGGAAGAGGCAATCCCAGCTCAGGCTGCATTTGTGCTGATAGCACCTTGCCTTGCCTGAGCCAAGTGCTGCTGGGTAGGCTGTGGGCGGTTACTGCAAGATGCTGTCAACTCCTTCCTGTGGTTTCCTGCCCAACTGGTTAAACTGGGGAATTTCAATCCTTGTGGCCAGCTGGTACCCCTTGCCCTCTAACTATCAAGCTCTGCTTGCTGTTAGTGAGCACTGACTGGTACTGGTCTGTAGAAGCTCAGCTCTGTGTGCCAGATTTGAAGAAACTAACTGAATTTCCAGAAAGTCAATTTCTCATCACTGTTATCCTTGTAAATTTAGAGAATGATGACTGATCTTGACTACCTTTTGGGAATCACGGAGCAACCAGACTATGATCTTGAGACCTTTGTGAGCAGAGCTAACCACTTTGTAGAGGAGAGCTCAAGAAACTTCCTTAGTGTCAGAGGTATGTTAGTGCCTGACTAATTTTTTTTTTTTAAGATCACTATCACTAATCTTTTTTCAAAGTCCTGAAAGTAACACCAGTATACCTGTGCAGGTTTGAGCACACAGTCCTTGTGCATAGCTTTTATGGTTCAGATCATTTTCCTAGGTGATCACAGGGACAGCTTTGACATGTCCTATTGTCTGTATTGTCCAAAGTGAAATTTTGGCTAGCAACTTCTACTTGCTTTGCACGGCCATATAAAACTGCCTTCCCTTGAGCAGAATGCAATATCCACCAAGAACAGATGAGCTGAAGTCTGCTGGGCTACTTGGTTATATAGTTTACCTTTTGCCTTGGCCAAAACCAGACTTTGAGAAATAGATCCCAGTGCCATGTTCTAGGGATCCATAGAGATATGTGCACTGTTTCTACTCTGGATTTCATGGGTGTCGGCCTTAATACCCATCCACTTATCACAAGTGCCATATACTGAGATGCCATGGCTGCCAGCTCCTGTGTTTGGCATGCCTTTGCCTTAGTGTAGGGCATTAATCCATGTGCAACAAAACTGCCCCCAGCTGCTCAGTTCTGCCCCAGTCTGGAGATTTCCCAGCCCTGTGCAGGAGGATGTCAGCTCCCTCTTCCTTGAGCACTACCTGCCTCGTACAGGCAGCTGTATGAGTTTGGCTGACCCACAGTGCCAGCGTGAGGTACACAGACTGCTGGACTAGGACAGGGAAGGCTGCTCAGCTAACTGCTACCATTCTGCCACTGTAGCAATAATTTGGGCTTTGGCTAATACTTGTGCCATTACAGCTGGCATGGTCTTTGCCTCCAAAACAGGTCTGTGAGGGCTTTATATCTTAACAAGGCTGAAAACTGTTAACCTGAAGCAGTGCCTTTTTTCTTAAACAGCCCTGACTGACCCCTCCCATCTCAAATGCAGCAATATTGGTCCCTTCACCATGGAGGGGTGGTGACAAGAGGAAAATGCCCTGCTTATCCTCTCCATTTTATAGGCCAGGGAAATCTGTCCCTCTGGGATGGCTGGATTAGTGGCATTGAGTTTGAACTGCAGACTTAAAACTGCTGATGAGTAGAAATGAACAAGTACAGCTGAAGAGCTTTGTGGGACCAGGCAAAATTTGATGCAGTTCCTGCCTGGTTCTCTTCCCCCTTGCAGACCCTTGACAAGCTGCTGAGGGGGGCAGCTGGGCAGGGAAGTTCAGCTTCCAGGTCACTCACTCTGTCACTGTTTTCCTTTCTAGAAACGCTGGATGCCTTGGGGGCTGCCATGCAACTGGAAGAGCAGGCCAGCAAACAGATGAGCCGGCAGAGGCCTTAGTGAACACAATAAAACCTGGTTCACAAGCAGTCTTCTGTATGTCTTGCATGTTTGTCAGTGCTTTGTATAACTCCTGTTTTAAATGTGGTAGAGTGTGGGTCACATGTGCCTGAGGGCAGTGGACGTGGCAGCTTCTCTTCATGGCCTGGTATTGGGGTACGCAGCAGAGCGGTAGAAACACCCCCTGCAAGGCCTGAGGAGAGGGTTCTGGGAGTCTGCTAGATGTGTCTAGCATCTCGCCCTTTGCTAGTGACAATGGTGGTCTCCAAGATGCAGAAAGACATGTATAGTTCTTACAGTGTAGATATAACCTTTCCAGATGTGCTTGAAACACTGCAAAACTGTTGCAAGTCTGGCTTTTCTAGAAAGAAAATGGTCTATATGTAATTATAAAAAATTGGTATTTTAAGAAGTTTGATAAATAAATGTTCCTGGATTTAACTACCTCTTATCTTATTAAGTATTTCTTGCTGATTTTGGTGAAGTTTAACAGCCTCTAAAGACTGGGTGGTGGTGTAGAGAGAGGCTAATTTCTTGGATGAAGTTTCTTTTTAAAGTCTTTACACTTGTAATGTTTACATATAAATCACTCAATTTTTTTTCTCTTAATTTTGAGATCCTGAGGGGTAGAAGTTGCCTGGCAAGGGGGAAGCTGGTTTAGAGTGTACCTATACTGCACCTGAGCAAAGCTCAGCATGTAGTGAGTGGCTCAGCTTTTATGATATCAGGTAAGTAGCAAGGACCCTGTGAGACTTCCTTGTACCACTGGAGTTTCCTTAGGCTCTGAGGAAGTGCCAGGCTCTTTGCATTTTTCCATGTACATTTCCCATGGCTAACATGCCACATAGAATACATGTGTTCAGCAGCCCACCAAAATCTGTATTTGAGGGCAGAATTGCAAAACTGGCCACTAGCTCAGTTGCAGAGAGATGCTGCCATGGCCTTTGTGTGCAGCCAGGGTGCAGGTGGCCCCACACAATCTGTCCTTGGGAGAGGAGCAGGCAGAGAGGCAGGGTGGGGAAGGACAGATGGGAGGCATGTGCTGCTGCCCTACTGTTGCCTGTTTGTTCAGCTCCCTTCAGGGTTTGTTTCTGAAAGGACAGAACAGCCCTGGGAGATCTGAGTCCAGCAACACAGGACGCAGCTACACAAACATCAGATTACAGAGGGATCTTCCTATGGTTACTCCCTTTTTCCCTAGACCTCTACTTTGTTCTGCTTCCTGAGCTGTCTTCTCCCCCTGCAAAGGTGTCATTTAAGTGACTGTGCCCCCAGCTCTGCACCTACCTGGGGACTGCATTCTTGCCACGTCTCTGGGGATGTCTACTGTATTAGAGGCCAGTTCTTCAGCCTGGACTGGATTCACTTTTGTGTACCAGGTCTCAGGGCTGTCCTGGAAAAGGCAGCAGAGGAGTTAGGATTTTAATGGGATGAAGACAAGCAGCTAAAGAAGGGATACTTTAGCCCAGACAGCACCCTTCCTCAAGGCTGGGGCACTTTGTGATCAACAGTTTAGGTACTGGGAGCAGTGTGGGGCTGAGCACTTTGAGGGCCTCTGAACTGGTGAAGCTGACTTGTGTCTCTGCCAGAGTGAAAGGGCTGGTAGGCCCTACTTAGTTTGGACTAAAGCAGGGCCGTTCTGTTCCACTTCAGGTGTTGCTACGCTTGGATTATCCAGCCTTGCCCAGTGGCTTTTTTGGGTAAGGATGGGCCTGGGTACAAAGAACGAAGTCCCTTGTTTGTTCCACCTTCCCTCCCTGGATCTAACACTGCTTACTAATCTGCATATCCACTCCTGGAGCTAGAGTTCAGAAGGGACCTGCTTTGGAGGAGCTCAAGTCAGGTCTTGCCTCATTGGCCCTTTTAAGTCACACTTTGACACCAATTTTCCACGGTAACAGAAGGAGCAGGAGTGTGAGATCCCTCTCTGCTCTCTCCTGAGGCTGAGTCAGAGCAATTTTCTTCCTGAACACTGAGACTGAAGGTAAATACTTCTGAAAGTGTGGCTTGTTTTAGTGGTGGGCTCTTATGCAAGAGTCCCTACATATCTTCAAAACAGACCAAGGTCCTAGGGCTGCTAATAAATCCCAAAAGGGAGGTATGTTTACCATAAAGTGCTGGAACAGTGTGTGTCCTAGTACATTCTTTACGGCCTCCTCCACAAAGGGAAACGTGTGGACAAAATACTGCAAGAAAACAGATTTGGTGTGTGGGGAGAAGTGATGTGAATGTGTGTACAGAGGGTAGTGCTGCATGGATGGTGTGGCTCCAGATAACCTGTCACATGCCAGTGTGTCCCTGGGCCACTTCCTTTAGAGCTGTGCTGAAGCAGGTCAAAACTCAACTCAGCACCAAGCAGGAAAAAGACCCTGCTTAAAGTTCTGTGCCGATATCTTTCTCCAAGCAAAGTGTCAGTTAGCCCCTTAGCTCTGTCTGTGCTTGCTACCCACAGCAAGCCTCGGGGTGGAGCAGAGATCTGAGAGCTAACATTGGCTTCCCAGCACTCTCTGTGCAGTGGGTAGCAGGAGGGAGGCAGACAGGAGGGGAAATACAGCTTTTTCCTGAAGGAAGTATCACTCCTGCCTTTGTGGATACACCTCTGTCTGCTATGCTTAGGAAAAAGCATCACAGTGGAACAAGCCTTTTTGCTGAGGTGCTCTGGGAGCAGAACTACCACCATACTCACCTCCAGGGAGATACTGGTGTGTCTCTGGCTGGCCACATGGTCCACGTTCCCCACAGCAACCATCAGGCCATGTACCACTTTCAGCTGGATCAGCTCTTCAGCCACTTCTGCTGACTCCTTGGCTAATATGCTGCAACAAGATAGGCCATCAGCCCCTACCCCGTGCATGTGACCAGAAACATCCCAGGAGTCAAACACCACTGTTACTTATGTGAGCATGTCCCTGGAAGACACTCCAGCATGTCTACCTACCCACCAAGGCTTTTCTGTCACCTGCTTTTGCAGAAAAAGTGTTCTGATAGCACTATCTTGTGGACGCTGCAGGAAATTCATACTGAATGAAACAGTTTTAGCACAAACAGCTAAATTTACTTAAGGATTCTGCAGTCAATCCTAGGCACTAGATTCTTCCACTGGGTGGCTGTTGTTGAAAGA